GGAAAGAGGCTTCTCAGGAAGACCCCGGGGAGCTGCTGCCAGTCCGAGGAGACAACGCCGGCCTTGATAGACCAAGCGGGTCTGACTCAGTAGAGGGCAGCTCCATGTGTGTTTATGCGTCTATTGTTAAGTGCTTCAAAAGCTTCATCTAGATTAGAGTCCGGTAGCACCAGAGAGGCAGACAAGATTTTTGGGGTCGGAGCTTTCTGACGAAGGGAGCTTTGACTCTCGAAAACTCTGGTTGGTCTCTAAGGTGTCAGTGGACTCCAGTTGTCCTGCTGCAGACCAACACAGCTACACTCTGAAACCTTCTAATGCTTCAGTATGTACCACTTTCAAATGGTGGCACCGTCCCCGTGGCAGACACGAGGACACCGTCATGTCTAGTTTGGCCCTCTAATGAGTTCCTGATGGCGATGGGGAAAGACACGGAGCTGCATGCGGCTTTGAAGCACCATCCCCTGACCGCTGGGAGTCATACGTGGCCCTCTCTCACCTTTCCCCAGTCTCTGAGATATATTTGGCCGGGCACTAACTGCAGTTGTAAAGGCCAAGAACTTGCTTTCATAGTACATCAGAGGAGAATACGTGAAGGCATGTCCTGTGCCTGTATCGTAGGGCCCCTCGGAGGAGGAGGAGGCCCTGTGGGTCCGAGCCTTCCTAAGTATCCACCTGTTCTCTCCCTCCAGGACAGGGCCAAGTCCGAGGGCCTCTGGAACCTTTTCATACCAGCGGAGAGTGACCCAGACTTGAAATATGGAGCAGGCCTGACAAATCTAGAGTATGCCCACTTGTGTGAACTGATGGGGACTTCGCTGTATGCACCCGAGGTACCTGCGGTGGAGGCTCTGCCCAGTTGCGCTGTGGGAAGCCGGGTGGGGGTGGGGAAGGACCTCAAGAGTGAATCTGGAACCTCCCTTTGGTCCCTGCAGGGAGATCTGAGACCCAAAGGGAGAGAGCCGAACAGCTGTGACTTTCGGGAGGGCCTCTGGCCTGCCTTCCTCTTCCTCTCTACACGTTCCAGTGTTCTGCAGGGTCTCCCTTTTCTGGCAAGTGCCCTCCGACTGTGATGGCCACGGTTTGGCTTCTGACTCATTTCTGCAGATATTCAACTGCTCTGCCCCGGACACAGGCAATATGGAGGTGCTGATACGTTATGGCACGGAAGCACAGAAGGAACGCTGGCTGCAGCCTCTGCTGGAGGGCAAGATCCGCTCCTGCTTTGCTATGACGGAGCCGCAGGTCAGTGGTCCCTGCCAAAAGGTGGCTGCCCTTGTCTCATCTTTTAAAGGGACATGCAAGCCCTTACTTGAGAGCCAGTTTGGTGTAGTGGTGAAGTGTGCGGACTCTAATCTGGGAGAACCGGGTTTGATTCCCCACTCCTCCACTCTCAGCTGCTGGTGTGACCTTGGGCAAGCCGTAGTTCTGTCAGAGCAGTTCCTGAAAAAGAGCCGTTTCTGTCAGAGCTCTCTCAGCCCCACGTACCTCCCAGGGTGTCTGTTGTGGGGAGGGGAAGGGAAAGGAGAGTGTAAGCCGCTCTGAGACTCCAAGTGAAGGGCGGGGTATAAATCCAATCTCTCCTCTTCTTCTTCTTCTTCTACTCAGCCTAAGCCAGAGATGGTTTTCTACACCTGACTCAGAAAGCCAACATGCTGCATTTAAACATTGCAAAGTTTTCTCCCATCCATCCTAAGTCAAAATAAAATAGCATATTAAAAGTGAAGACAGAGGTCATATTTCAAAAGATGTTGGACATTTCCCCATGCGTTATCGGTCCCAGGTTCAATCCTTTTGGGAAGTGTGTGTGTGTCCCTCCCCACTTCCCCACAGTATCGTGGCACAGTCATGAGCCTACAGAGATTTCCTCAGCTTTTCTCCAATCTCCCTCAAACCCGCTTTGTTCAGAGTTTTGGGAAAAATCGCAGTACTGCCTGGACGACTGCCTTGTGGGTGGGAAAATCCAGGCGTTCACATGGCAGCCCTTTCCTCTTTCCACCACTGGAGGGCTTTTTGATTATTTTTTTTAAAATGGCACTAGAATATCATTACATCGATATACCACTGTAACAATAGGTGTAACGTGTTCTCTGAATTCTCGTATCTTATTTCTAAAAAAGTAAGTCTCTATCCTCCTTCTCTGTAGAGATATAAGGGGAAAGGCATATCGTGGCAATGGAAGGGGCTAGAAATTTACTTTTTTTAAAAAAAATGAAAGCTGGGAATTCTGAGACCCTGTTACAACTGTTGTTAACAAGGGTACATTGCTAATAACATTGCTAATAATAGTAATAGCATGGGCCAGGGAACGGGGACTGGGGCAGGAAGAATGCAGGGAAACCTGCCATGTCTACGCTCTTGTGCAGATTGCAAAGGCAGGAGGGAGTGAGGCTCATCCAGCAGGGCAAAAACACTGGGGTGGTGGTGGTTTTTACACAGGGAGGGGCTTGTGTAAAAACCACCACCACCCCAGTGTTTTTGCCCTGCTGGATGAGCCTCACTCCCTCCTGCCTTTGCAATCTGCACAAGAGCGTAGGGGTTGTTAATGCAGCCCCTTTCCAAACCCGCCCCACTCCCTCGGCTCTCGAGCAGAGCAAGCTGGTTCTCACCAGGTTTCCCTCTAAACTGAGTTAGTGTGAGCCAGCTCACAGTTTTTTAGCCTCCGGCTCACACATTTCTGTCTCAGCTCAAGGGGGATGCCTCCAGAGCAAACTAATTTATGCAGCAGCCAAATTGCTTGCTCACAACTTTCATGCCAGTAACTCACAAAGTGGAATTTATGTTCACAAGACTCCAAAGCATAGAGGGAGCGTTGGTTCTCACCCCTCGCTTCTTGAGAGCTTTAAGCCAGAGGTGCGTTGACTGAATCAGAGAGGAGTTCCTGTCTGAAAAGCAGGATCCCTGGCTCCTCCGAGGAGGTGAGCTCACAAAGGCCAACTCCAAATCGAATCTTCTCTGGCAGCGGCAGCATCAAGAGGCGTGTGGATGCCACTTGTTACTCTCCACTGCTGACTTCTGTTTCAAACCTGCGAAATCATTCCTCTTCCTGCTCCCCCCCCCCCCGGGAGTCCAAGATAATGCAGTGTGTGTGGGGGGGGTGCATCCGACCCAGCCTGGTGGCTTAATAGAGGTTCCACCTGCTCCGTTCCGCTTCACTCTAAAACAAAGCATTCCACTTAGGTTGCTTCCTCCGATGCTACCAACATCGAGGCGTCCATCACTGAGGGAAAGGGCATCTATGTTCTGAACGGACGCAAATGGTGGATTTCGGGTATGTTGCAGAACCTTTCGGCTTTCCTTTCCCACCCCCACCCGCTGGCATTTTCCTGCAGCAGACTGCTGAGACGTGGAATAAAAGCATGATAGCTCAAGAGCGGGTCAGCGTCCTGGAGGACTGATCAGCCTCCTGGCCCAGCGATTTGACTTCTCTTGTGGCTTGTAAGAAGCAAAGGCTTCTGGGAAGCCCTCGCTTCCTCTCCTGCTGACTGGGCACTGCTTGAGAGCCACACATGGAGCCTGGTGAGCCAGGGAGGCTGCAGGCCGGCGGAGGCTGGGAGCAAAAACAGCTGCGGAAGCACAGTTCCCTCTGGAGCAAGGAGAAGAAGCCTTGCCCGGTTGGGAGACCACTGGATAGCCCAGCGTCCAGCCTTCACTGTAGACACCAACGTTGCCCTGAAGTTGCATCAAAGCCAACGGTTGCTGGGGCAGAGGGGTGAAGCAAGAAAGTTGGCTGTAGTGAAGTTGTGGTAGACCCAGCCATTCTGAGGCGGCTTGGGGCATTGGGCATCATAACATATGAGCATAATTGGCCCTGTTCTCTTATCCCATAACTGCTAAGTTTACTCAGGAGTCCAGTGAGGTACCTTCTTTAAAGCCATTTGGAAGTCCATGTATATTATAATGCCTCCTTCAAAAGGTTGGTGAGGCAGGACTTTTCTTTGCAGAAGACATGCTGATTTTCCATCAGGCGGCTTTGTTCCTCTGTGTGCTTGAGTCCTCGCACAGGACACTTGAGTCTGGCCACCAAGAAAGAATCCCCGGGAGTACATACATTTAAGAACTGGCTGCATCTCCACTGGGAGCCAGTTTGGTGTAGTGGTTAAGCGCGTGGACTCTAATCTGGGAGAACCGGGTTTGATTCCCCACTCCTCCACTTGCACCTGACTGGATGACCTTGCCCAAGCCGTAGTTCTGATAAGAGCTGTCCTTGAAAAAGAGCCATTTCTGTCAGAGCTCTCTCAGCCCCACCTACCTCTCAGGGTGTCTGTTGTGGGGAGGGGAAGGGAAAGGAGTTTGTAAGCCGCTCTGAGACTCCTTCAGGTAGTGAAGGGCAGGGTATAAATCCAATCTCCTCCTCCTCCTCTTCTTCTTCTGTAGTGGTTAAGTGCATGGACTCTCATCTGGGAGAGCCGGCTTTGATTCCCCACTCCTCCACTTGCACCTGACTGGATGACCTTGCCCAAGCCGTAGTTCTGATAAGAGCTGTCCTTGAAAAAGAGCCATTTCTGTCAGAGCTCTCTCAGCCCCACCTACCTCTCAGGGTGTCTGTTGTGGGGAGGGGAAGGGAAAGGAGTTTGTAAGCCGCTCTGAGACTCCTTCAGGTAGTGAAGGGCAGGGTATAAATCCAAAATCCTCCTCTTCCTCCTCCATCCCTTTGGAACACAGTCCTTGTGCACGTGCAGTTATGTCTTTCTCTCTTTCTTCAGTTGCCATGACCCATCTTTAGCAGTGCACGTGAGCCCATTAAATGGGAACAGAGGGATCAAGCTGTGCTGGTCCCTCACAGTTTCTCTCCTCGGCAGGCTCCCTGGACCCTCGTTGCCAACTCTGCATCTTTATGGGCAAGACTGACCCTTCAGCCCCAAGGCACAAGCAGCAGTCGATGCTCCTCGTTCCTATGAACACTCCTGGGATTACAGTCACTCGGCCACTCACCGTGTATGGCTTGGATGATGCTCCAGGTGAGACAAGAGGGATCTGTTTGGGGTAGTTTCCAAAGGCAGGGTGACACACCTCCTTCACCACCCGCGTCTGCGTACGCAGCCATCTGAAACCCACTTGCAGAACGTGGAAGTCTCAAACACAACAGACTGCCTTGTGAAGCACTCCCATTGGTTTCAGCGCAGCACGACCGTTCTGAATGGTTGGCGCTGATTGACCCTAAGCGGGATCACAGTTGATCTAAGGCGATTCCAGCAAAACCTCATGTCTGGCCCTGTCCCTTCCCTCAGTCAGTGGTTGAGGGGAGTTCAGTTTTTCCATTCCATGGGGGACTAATGTGCAAAATAAGCGCACTGAGCTCTGTGTCTTGTGTCTTCCCCTTCCAGCCGGCCATGGGGAGATCACGTTTGAAAGCGTTTGTGTTCCCCAAGAGAACATCTTGCTGGGTCCTGGCCGGGGGTTTGAAATCGCCCAGGGGAGGCTGGGCCCAGGAAGGATACATCACTGCATGAGGCTGATCGGCCACGCGGAAAGAGCCCTGTCTCTCATGAAGGAGAGGGTGAGCGACGCCACGTATCGGGCCAGGCATCTCTTTCGGATTGCCTCTGTTGCTGCCAGAGAAATGACTTTCACCGGCCATGACACACCAATCTCTGGCACAATGTTACTTTCTGCTCCTTCTCCGCTACTCCCTAATGGTTAGGAAGTTTTATTGCTTGTGCAATAAAACTCCCTTTCATACCAATCTAGAGTTCCTCAAAGCCCTCCTTTAAGCAGGCTCCATTCTGCCAAGTACAGCTCATTGTCCCAGACATCTCCACCGGATTGTATGTATATCCAGTTCCTCATTCTGTCTCTAGTATGATCAAGAAACAGCACCCAAGTTAAGGCCGTGCTGAGTTCCCCAGGCGCCTGTGGAACTGAGAAAATAGGCTATAATAAAAGACGTGACTAAGAGCGGAACGGGGGCAAAATATGTGCACAAAATGTAGACGTGTTTTATTGAGAACTTACAACAGGGCTTTCCTATATCCCCACCCCCCTCCTCTTCTATCCAATGGCAGAGAATTTGCTCATGAGGATATTTATTTATTTACTTACTTAATTTCTTGTCAACATTTGTCATAGAGACTCAAGGCAGGTGATACGAGTTATAAAAGACAATGGAAAAATACAGTATACTACATATAATGGACAATGCAATAAAACTGGATTACACATAGTAAAGATCAGTGGAATAGACAACGGTATATTGCATCACATAAACTGGATTGCACAATCAGAGAAGAGCTCTGTAAGCTCTTGGAGGATTGGCTACATTAGGGGGCGTGTCACCTAATATGCAAAGGAGTTCCTGCTACAAAAAGAGCCCTGCATGATCTAATCCCCCCCTCACCATTTCCTCTTTTCCTTCCCTGAAAGCCCCCATAGCCCCTCCCCTTTCCCTGCTTCCTTCTCTCCTTCCCACCCGCCAACTCACCTACCTTTCTCTGCTCCCTGTGTTCAACTTACCTTCCTTCCCTCCAGCTGGCAGCCTCTGCCTGGGAAAACGATGGCCCAGTTGCGTGGTGTTGGCTGCTGGGCCTGGCCCAGTTGTGTGGTGAAAAACACACAAGCATTATCCTCAGTGTTACTGTGATGGATCCACGTGGGCAGGTTGGCCGGGTCAAAATAGGGAGCTATCCTCTGGGCTAAGTGAAGATAAAAGAAAGCAATTTTTTTTTTTGCAGCGGAATTTATGAAGGATGTTTCTGTTCTGCCTTTTCAGAGTCCTGCTTGAGGTGCCTTACAATTAAAATCACTGCAATAAAAAAACAAACCCAAGCCATTGGACCTATCCAGAAAACAGAAGCAGACCATTAAAAAGCTAAGATAAACCCTCTTATTAAAAGCCTGATTAAAAAGATGTGTTTTGGCCTGGCGCCTAAAAGAAAGCAAAGTAGATGCGAGGCAAGCCTCCAAGGGGAGGGTGTTCCAGAGGCGAGGGGCCACCGCAGAAAATGCCCTGTCTCTAGTCATCATCCACCTTGCCTCTGAGGACACAGACAGCAGGGCTTGAGAGGTAGATCTTAACTGGTAGGTTGCACAATAAGGGAGGAGTCCTCAGTCCTTCAGGTACCATAGTCCCGATCCATTTAGGTCCAGTAAGAGCCAGCGCTTTGAATCGTGTCCAGAAACTTTCAGCACTTGCTTCTCCAGCAATTCTGCTGGGTCCAGAATATTGCCCCCCGCAACTCTTAGCTGAATCAGCGAGGGTTAGTTGAACCTCATCAGGTGAGGCAAGCCCAGAGTCCTTCAAGACCTGAGCCTTCCCCACCCGCATCACCTCCGTTTTGTCAGGATCCCCTTTCAGTGTTTTCATCCTCAGGCATTTAACCACAGCAGCAAGGCGCTGGTGGCATTAAGCCCACATCACACCATTGGCAAGTCTAGAGCGCCGCTGCTCGGACCATTGGCTGCAGCTGGAAAGGCCCCAGGATTGCACCTGGCTGGGACACATCTCTGTACACAGGCCAGGGGATCCCAGTGGCTTATATGGCTACACTTGTCCTTTCCTGGTTTACTGTAAAACTCTCAGGCAGGTGTGGGTTTTTGGCAGGTGACGTCCCGCACAGCCTTCGGGAAGCCCTTAGCGGAACAAGGCACCATCAGGGCGGCCATCGCTGAGTCCCGGGTTGAAATTGAGCAGGCCCGGCTGCTAGTCCTCAAGGCAGCCCACCTCATGGATGTCGTTGGAAATAAGGCAAGTGCTTGGAGAATCAAAGGGTGGGTGGGGGGGTCAGATCCAGGCAGCTGGTGGTCACCGTAGGCTCACTGTCGAGCAGGGGTCCCCAACCTTCTTGAGCCCACAGACACCTTTGGAATTCTGGCACAGCGTGGTGGGCACAGCCACAAAACGGATGTCACGAACTGGCAGCCACAGGAGGCAGAGCGGGCCACAAAAGAGCTGCCACCACTTACCTCCACTTACACAGCAAAGATCTTTGTGCTGTCGTGGCCGCCGCCGCCAAAGCAACCTTTTAAAAAATCTGCACAGCCAATTACATCTCCATTGGCCAGTCGGAACCCTTGTTGGGCAGAAGCCCCACCCATTTTCCAGTGTTGGTGGCTGCCGATGGGCACGATCTTGGGGATCCCTGCTGTAGAGACACAAGCACAGGCAGTGTCCTTTTATTTATATATGGCTCGTAAGGGGGATGCCAGCAGCAGGGAACCCCCACCCCCAACCGGGGACTGGCAACCCTAGAAGGGGGGCCAGAAGGAGACTGTGAAAAGCTGCAGGTCTTATCTACACTCATTTTTAAGTGTGAGAGTTGCCTCTCCTGCGTGTGGTGTCTTTGGGCCTGGCCCCAGGGGCTCTACCATTCTGCCCTGCAGAAATCCAGCTCAGCTGCTCGATACTGCTGGGAAGGGAAGGGCCTCCACACACAGCCCAGCACAGAGGGCATCTGGGGGGCTATCCCCAGTCTTCTCTTTATCCATTTGGAAATGGCCTTCTGGTTGAAAGAGAGCAATATATCACTGTCAGTTTGCAAGTGATGGTGTGCCCTCGGTGGGGGGGGGAGGGAGCCGGTGAGGACATGGCTTCCCTTGAGAGCTGCCACTTCCTTCTGTCTTGATCCCACACAGGAAGCTGCTCCAGAGATCGCCATGATCAAAGTGGTGGCTCCAAACATGGCGTTACGGGTCATCGACCGGGCTGTCCAGGTGAGTGCTTTGTGGGGGCAACACGGAAATTCGTTCCTCCGTCTCTGTCCAGTGCCATCCTTCTTCACACTCTTTCCATCCGAGGGCCCAAAAGTTCTCACGTCATTCTCCCCTCCTTGTCTGTCCCTGTGCTGTCCATAAGGTTGCCATGGGTCTGGATCCCCGGGAGGGGAGGGACCTCAGTAGTGGGGTATAAGGCCACAGAGTTCACAGTCCAAAGCAGCCATTTTCACCGGGAGAGCTCTCTCTGTATTCTGGAGTCGATCAATTCAATTACCTTTATTGGCATTGACATTAAAAAGAGTAATATACAAAAGATAAGGTAAAGAACAAATACCAATCAAAGAGGAAGAAACGTTCTAAGATAGTCTAAAATCAATGTAAAATAAGTCTCAATTTCATATCTCCTGAATACAAGTTTTGTATTACAATACTGTACTACGAATAAAAAGAGCAGCCTGCAAGAACTCTGCCACAGAAACGGTTATATTTTCATCATCGCTATTTAGCAAATAAAGCAATTTGTGTGAGTCAGGAAGCTCTACGATACCACCAAGTAGTGACGATAAAATGCGGTGTCGAATATTGGCATAGTAATGGCATTCCAACAACATGTGAGACACCATTTCAGCTGACCCGCTTGCACAGGGGCATAGTCTATTAACAAAAGGGATACCATTAAACCTCCCAGTTAAGATCGCTGAAGGGAGAGCATTGAACCGGGCAGTGAAAAGGTTCTACACAGGGGGTCGGTTGGAGCCGGAGCGCACAGGAGCAGCACTCCGGGAGTGAGGAGCCCAGGGGGCGGGCACATGACAAAGCCCCGCCCCCTGCTCCCAGCAGCCCATCTAAGGTGCCGGCTTGCCTTTAAACCGCCTTCCCTTCCATCTGATGCCAGGGGGTGTAACATATGCAAATAAGTTATACTAATGAGCTCCCGCACCTCTTTTTCTACGAAATGACCCCTGGTTCTACGTAATGCTGGAGTCTGAAGTTGGTGAAAATAGCTAGCAGGATGATCCACAGTGGACAATATCCCATGACTCAGAGGGGAGCACGTCTTATTAGCTGCGTTGTACAGTTCAAATAGCTCTGCCTCAAATAGTCTATCCCTTATTGTTTGCATTGCCTCCAGTTCCGAAAGTGAGAGTAAGGATTCGAAAGGGATATCCAGAGTTCGTAACTTCTGGAGAAGAGTCGTAATTCTGGGAGATCTCCAGGAGGTCGGCGACTAGACAAGCTGCAGGAGTTCCTATTCAGAACTTAATTCCCAGAATTCTGCTTTTCAGTATCAGGATGGTGGCACAAAGGAGGAATGGGGCTTATACGTCCTTCACCCCACCCACCCAGGGCCGTTTTCCCGAGCTGAGGGTCCACTGTTTGCCCCACTGGGTAAAATGTTTGTGCAGCCCATCACTACCCTTGCCTTCCCACAGCAGGGCAAACGGCGACTCCCTGAGGTTGTTTCTGGTCAAGAGAACAGCACGGTTTGCGCTCCCGTGATTCTCCTCCAGAGTTGGGCCCCCAAATGCCTGGGAGTTTTTTGAGCATGAGACGCCCAGCGCATATCTGGCACAACCCCTGATCCAGGCCTCTGTCTGGTTATTTTATTTGTATACCTCTGCACCAGTAACAAGAGCCTTAGGCCGAAGAGTTGCGCCTCACTTCACCCCTCACACCTTCCTGTCATGCTTACTATCTCGGGTCCACTGCCGACCTTAGGCGTGTGAGGTAAACTGGGTTTTGAGTCTTTTCATTCACACGCAAACAGGATTCCTTGATCCTGTACCAGACAGCACGTCACTTTCCCTTGGATCGTACAGAGACTGTAGTGGGTTATCAGGGTTGAGGATAACATGGAACAAACAAACAGGTTTATTTAGTTGCTAAGTGTGTCACCGGAACTCCTCTAAGGACGGTTCCGAATGCCCAACTCAGACTTATCTACGACAGTGGGCGTGGCGTGAGTAATTTTCCCGTGTATACAGAGGTCAGATTGGCCAACGAGCACTTCTATTTCCCAGGAAGTGAGACAACACGCTAGGTTTAATGAATAAATGTTGCCTTTTTACTAAGCAGTTTTCAAGCATACGAAAAACAGATGCACACACAGAATCACACAAGTTCCTTAGTTACAATAGTATATAGAAAGCAATCAGCAAGGAAATTAATAAATTCAACAGACAAGGGGGATACACAGTAGGATATCGCTTATACTTATCTGAGGTCCGAGCTGAGAAGAAATCTCCTCTTAGAAAAAGTGGGGCAGCTTAAGGATCAGCGGGTGAAATTCTAAAAACACACGAGCTGGTCCAGCCAAGCCACGTGCGGGTTCTCGGGTCGCGACTCCCGGGAACACAGTAAGAATCACCTGCAGCGCTTAAGGTGCAAGGTAGGGGAGGGGTGCTTTAACCAGAGAAACAATGCTGTGTTTCTCTTTTTAAAAGCTAGGTTTTTGGGCTTGGCTTAAGGCCATAAACCCTTAGGGTCCGTCCTCTTTACTATGGCTATAGGTTAAAGAGTTGTGACGTCCTAATTGAGGGGAAGGGGCAATATGCAGATGCTCTGCCCTAACTTCAAAAGAGCCATGTGGCCAGGTGTGAAACCGTCGTTTCCATTGGCAACCTTTGACTTGCAGAGAGATGCGCCTGGTCCATGAGCAATAAAGGAAGTTTTCTTTGTGATGCCAATACCAGATAGGAGGCCGGGTTACGTGGTTTCCCACAGCTCAGCAATGGTGGGAAATCCTGTTGTTTCTCCAAGTCTCTCATCGTGCATAATGGCGCTGGTCTTCTTTGTCCAGAGGCACTCTGGGAAGGTGCAGGGAAGTACGTGTCCTGTAGCAGGCAACACCAGCCCTGCTCATCCAGATGCAGGCATGAGATGTACAGCCAAGCAGCAAACACAGCATTAGCACAGTACAGACAAATGCAATTGCAAACACACATGGTTACAAGTGTGACGTGATTCCTTCCCACTCCAGCCTGCTGGCTGACACAGTTACCAGAGTGGGGAAGTGCCGTATCCTTAAAAGGTACGATGCCTGTCCTTAAATACAATCACTGGATGGCTTGAACAAGGCCGCGGTCCTTATCTGAGAAGGGCAGCCAAAGCCTGCCTGGCAAAAATCAATCCTCACGGTCCCCACCGCCTCTAGGATCCCCTTCCGATCCTTTCTCCCTCCAAAACCCAACTGCCCTTTTTGTCCCTTAGTGGTTGAGTTAAACTCCCCTCAGGTCTTTTGACACACACACACACACCCAGCATTCCTTTTAGCCTTTCAAATCCCGTTGTTTCTCACTGAACAGGGAGGAAAGACAGTTGGAACTTTCTCCTGTCCATCACAGTATCTGTTGACAGGTTAGACATGTGGGGAACTCAAGGACTTCCTAAAGCCCTCAGGGGGGCTCTCCTTTAGGGACTGATCCTGCCTGCTCCACAGGCACGTCTTTAAACAAGGCCTTCACCTGAGCTCCTGGCCTTTTCCCTTGCAGGCCTTTGGGGCGGCAGGACTCAGCAGCGACTATCCACTGGCACAGTTCTTTGCCTGGGCGCGAGCTCTCCGCCTGGCCGACGGCCCGGACGAAGTCCACCGGGCAGCCATCGCCAAAATGGAACTGAAGCGTTAGCTGGGCCACAAGCCATGGCCAGGAACAGCTTTACCTTCTGTTAGCTGGAGGTGGGAAAGGAATCCTGGGCCACGGCTTTGATGGGGGTCTGAGGCGGCACGGACGAATGTGGGCCGTTTGTAATTTTCCTGTGGCACTTTGGCTAATCATAAGCACAATCAATTGTGGGGAAAAGAATCACAGAAGCAGGCTGCTCAGGGGATTAGGGGCCCAGCTAAAATCCCAGCAACTTCAGGGATTCTCGAGAAGAGATCCAGCACCCAAAAATCGTTGACGGCTGGACCGTTCTGGATTTCGGCGACTTACTCGGCCACACTTTGGTTAGCAGAGAACTGCTGACGGCTCCCAAGGCACTCCTGCTCCTGTGAGGGAAGGTCAGGAGCCTGGATCTCAGTTGAATATCCTGAACACGGACAGTGGGGAAAGAAGTCAAGGATTTCCCCAAGGACCTCTGGCAGAGTAACCCCGCCACCACTTCTTTGTGTTTTGTGGGGATTTGCACTTTAATGTGGTACTTCACTGATGTAATTTTTTTAAGAGGATGGAAAGGATCAAGGGGGAAGAAGCAGACTGATTTTGAAGCACCTTACAAAACCGGTTCTAAAAGCAAATTAAAAAGAACACCTCCTCCCTGCCTCTGTGTCTTCTGTGCTATGCCGTTGCAAAACCGCAGATATGTTTTGTGTGCCCAGAATGAAAAAGGCTGGAGAGAGAGAGAGCGGCTTGTGTTTGTGTGTGTAGGATTGGGTTTCTCTTTTTTCCTTGCCTGTTCGCTCTCAGAAAATGGCGTGGGAATCAAGAGAATGCTTCAGGGGAAAGCAAAAACAGAGTTCCCACCATTCCTTTTGCACAAGACTGGCACCAACAGAGAGTCTCCTTGAAAGCTGAAATCGCCCTCACCCTCACACACAGCTCACCCAACTGAATCGAGGAAAGTCTGATGTTACCAACAGGAAACTCTGAAGGGGAAGCCTGGCCCATTTCTTGGGTGTGGCGAGTTGTACTCTCTCTTCTTGAACGAAGAACGGTACACTCCTTCTATCTGGGATGGTCGTCCTCTTCGACCGAGCGCGCAGCTTTGGGAGGGACGCACATAGAGCGGTGAGGAAGGTAGGGGACACCCGCCTAGCCAGCCAGATCAACCAAATCAACCCTGGCGATCACTGAGGTGACAGATGTCGCAGCCAGATCGCCCTCACATCCGTGGAAGTGTCGACTGTGTGTTGCCAGGTCTGGCCTCCCTCTTGTGTGGTTTCCCAATACGGTGACAGTCACAAGCGGGGTACTAGCTGGGCTGTCTTCAGCTTCCTCCATCTTGCAGGCGGGAGACATAGGGAACGATCCTAAGCCGGTCTGCTGGGAACAAAGTCCCATGTCACTGAGTGGACTGACTCCCGGGAAAGTGCCCTTAAGGACTGCAGCCATAGTCCTTGCGTGAGAACTGGCTGTCCCCCTTCTGCAACTGCCACATGTGCAGAAGTGCCCTCTGTGGGCACCCGACAGGGGTGCCCCCTGTCACCCCTGTTGTTTGCCCTGGCTATAGAGCCTTTTGCACAAGCGGTAAGAGACAACCCCCAAATCCACAGCATAAAGATTTGGCCCTAAACAAATGAAGCATAGTCTTTTTGCAGAGGACCTAGCCCTGACTTAAACACACCCAGAGCATACATTACCAAACCTTCAGCAACTCCTTTCATCCTTTGGCCTTATTTCTGGCCTTAAAGCGAACCCTTCAAAAACACAATTATACCGAATATGATGTTATTTTAAGGTATACTGGAGTGACGAGGGGGGAAGCATTGTGGGAAGCCACGGGGAGGGGGAGAGTAAAATGGGGATATTTGGGGTAAACATTGAAATATTAATGGAACTGATGACATGTCAATATTTTCATGAAAAATAAAATTCTGTTCAAAAAAAACAACAACACAATTATACCCAGTCAATATATCTCAAACCCAAAAAGGTTATAACTCCAAACATTATACCTTCAGCTGGGTAACAAAACTATGGCAATATTTAGGGATTAAGATCCCTCTAAACATATATGACCTTTTGAAGACAAACTTCTCCCCTCTAAAAAGATTTTACCAAAGACTCGCACTTAAATGGGCCAGGCTTCCCTTCAGAGTTTCCTGTTGGTAACATCAGGCTTTTCTCCATTCAGTTGGATGAGCTGTGTGTGAGGGTGAGGAGAGCCAGTTTGGTGTAGTGGTTAAGTGTGCGGACTCTAATCTGGGAGAACCGGGTTTGATTCCCCCCACTCCTCCACTTGCACCTGCTGATGTGACCCTGGGTCAGTCACAAGCTCTGGCACAGCTGTCCTTGAAAAAGAGCAGTTTGTGTCAGAGTTCTCTCAGCCCCGCCCACCTCACAGGGTGTCTGTTGTGGGGAGGGGAAGGGAAAGGAGTTTGTAAGCCGCTCTGAGACTCCAAGTGAAGGGCGGGGTATAAATCCAATCTCTTCTCTTCTTCTTCTTCTTCTTAAGTCAAGCCTCATCTCTTTCCTCATGGATGGAAAAAATCCAATTAATTAAATCTTTTAATTTTCTGAAATTTTTATGCCTATTCCGTACAATCCCCTTGGAAATCCCTAAAGATTATTTTAAAACCTGGCAAAAAGTATTTTCAAGTTTTATTTGGAACTCTGCTAGACCTAGGATTAGTTTAAATACTCTAAAGAAACCTGCGGATAGAGGTGGTCTAGCCCTCCCTGACCTAACACTTTATCATGAGGCTGTGACACTATCGGGGCTTCTGAAGTTTTACAGTGGCAACTTCACTAACGATTGGAAAATTATAGAACACTATTATTTAGAAAATTACACACCAGAATCTATCTTATGGGGAAAACCTAATAGAAGACCAGATACAATAAATCAGAATTTCTTTCTATAGTCTTAAAACTTGGGACAAGCGAAAGAAGCTTTTAGCCCTGTTTCGATCACCTATGTCGACTTTTATAGGTCAGTCATGGTATTTACCAGCTCAAACTCCAGATTCCTTTAGAGTCTGGAGAGACAAGAAGCTTACCCGATTTATAGACATTCTACAGGGACCTGTAATAGCAAAAAAAAAGAAGCCTTTTTAGAACAAAAACATTCATGCTATTTACCTTGGTATGAATATGCACAGTTGTCTTCTTTGTGCTGTTCACAAGACTTCCGGGAGGGTCTCCAGCGTCCTCTCACTACCTTTGAGCAAAACGTGAAAGTTGATAATCTATATTTTAAAAACAAAATAGCATTTATTTATAAAATACTTTTAGAATCATACTCTTCTAAACTTCTCAGCTACCAAAATAGTTGGCAGGCTGACTGTGGAGACCCCGTAACAGGGAAAGACTGGGAGAAGATTTGGGCATCACCGACCCTTTCCTCTAAATCTATTAATATACGATTACAGGGTTACAAAATCTTAATGCGATGGTACATCACACCCAGCAAATTACATCACATTACACCATTATATACGCCACTTTGCTGGAGGAAGTGTGGGGCTCAAGGCTCGTTTCTCCACTGTTGGTGGGATTGTACAATAGTAATGGAGTTTTGGCAAAAGATTTTTAGATACATCAAGGACATAACTGGTTATGATATAGTTCCTTCACAGGAATTGGTATTATTAGACCTCTGGAGAGACTGTCACATACCTAGGATGTATCAGGACCTTATTTCAGTTCTCCTAACTGCAGCTAAAACACTTATTGCAGCAAATTGGAAAGATTCTACCTCTATCTCTACTGCAGTGGTTTGTTAAGGTTATGGGACCTGTTTGTAATGGACAAAATATCGGACTTAGTTACGAGGACAGACGGCTCTAATGTCACCTCAACTCTACTAGCCAAATGGTCTCCATTCCGGGAATATGCACAGGACAATTACTCTACTCTCAAATGAGTCTTATTCCTTCTAAAATATAAAGAAATACTTACCTGTTTTTAGTTTTGGAAAGTATCAACTATAACACAGTTTTCCTGCCGTTACTGTTCCTTTTTATTCTGTAAAAGTTCGATTCTTGTTGGGTTTGGAAATCCTAATGTTATATTGCACGGTTAACCGGTTGTTTTCTTTGTATGTTATGTATAAAACTAGAAATAATGCCCGTTGCGGAAATAAATACAACGAGATCTAGAAAGAGGCTCTGGGAGAGTGCTCTGGCTTTGGGCAAACAGTGTCAGTTTCCTGTGGCGACCTCAGCAGGGTTTAATGACAGAGTCCACTGTTTTCTCCAGAGGGACTGATCTCTGCTACCTGAAGAGCATTTGTATGTTTGAGTTATCTGTAGCCCTCACCTGGAGAGTGGTAACCATTGTTACCCATTCTCCTCTCCCCTATGAGGTATGTTATGCAACTGAAAATTCCAACTGCCTTGCGGGGGGGGGAGTTTGAGGTGTGGAATGGACTGAAGTCCAATCAGCTTCCATATGCAAAAGACCCTGGTCGCAGCAGTTGTGGTGTGGGCGGGACCCGGGCTTTGCCTTCTGATTGGTGGCGATATATGCTGAGGAGCAGTGCCATCAGCCATACACTAAGGGAGTGCATTTTAGAATTAGAACTTTGGCACCCACTATTCAATTATATATAAGGAGAGATTACTTTTTTTAAAAAAGAAGTGTCCTCTGTGACTCAGATTCTTGCACCAATGTGTGAGAAAGGCAGATTATAAAGGCAGTCCTAAAACACGGCTGCGGTGGCTCAATGGTTAAGACGCTGAACTGCAGACCGGAAGGTCGGTAGTTCAGCAGCTTGAGAGTGCCACATCTTTGGCCCCAGCTCCTGCCAACCTAGCAGTTCGAAAGCAAGAAATTGCAAGTAGATAAATAGGTACCGTTTCGGTGGGAAGGTAACAGTGTTCTGTGCACCTTGGCGTCTAGTCATGCTGCCCACATGACCACGGAAACATCTTCAGACAGCGCTGGCTCTTCGGCTTGGAAAGAGAGATGAGCACTACCCCCTAGAGTCGGATTCAACTGGCTTTTGAGCAAGGGAAGCCTTTACCTTTACTTAAAACATGCTTGTTTTGATCATTCCCCAAAGTCAGCCAGATTTGGCGCTCAGGGCAGCTGATGTGTGTCAAATAAAACATAGACTGTTATTAAAAAGCATGAAAACAGAGTAACACCACAATAAACAAGCAGCAAGAATAATGTCTTTTTAAAAACGTATATTGCCAGCAGGATAGCTATGAATGGTTAGTGGGAAAGTTGCCCTGGACAGGGTGAGCACCAGGCCCGTAGCTAACATGGGGCCCATGGGGCCCGGCCCCCTTGTGTTTCTTCTGGGCCCCCTCCCTTTGGGGCTGCCCCCAAAGTGCTCTAACTTACCACCTGCACTGTACTTCCATTTAATTAGCTGGCGGGCCCCCCCAAGGCCCCCTTCCAAAGAATTCCCTAGCTACGGGGCTGGTGAGCACCACAAAGCAAGGGGGTAACCTGCACAGCCTTTGCTTTCTTATAAACCAGTACTGACCTCAGAAGAAACAATACAAGCCAGAAGCAACTGGGAGACCAAACAGTCTTGGGGGGCAACTTAAAGGGTATCAAACCTGGGGAAGCGACAGGTCTTCCCTGGGTGCCTGGTGGCAGAGGTGGGGAGGGCAAGGTGAAATGCTGGTAATGGGATTTGTGGCAGAAAAGGAGCCCCCAAAAAACTGGTCCACACAAGGATTGCAAATGTGTGCGCCTGGAGAAACCAATGCACTCCGTCCCAACCAGAGCCCTCCTACTATGCATCTTTGCCATAGGGGATGTAGCAGCTTCTGGTCCGTGCTTCAAAAGCTCCAGCAGCCGGAGATTCTTCACTCAACACTTCACCTGGCAAAAGCCTGGTGAATCTGCGCGTGTAAATTCATCACTCGATGACAAGTCGATTTGCACATGCGGTTGGGGCCCCACGTTGAGACTTCGCTGTCCCCTTCCCCCATGAAGTCGGTAGACGAATTCAGCTCTCGATAGTTCCAGGTGCTCAGCCGTGTTGGTCTGAAGCGGTAGAACAAATTTAGAGTCCGGTCAGGCACCTTTAAGACCAACAAAGGTTTATTCATGGTAAGAGCTTTCGTGTGCTAGGCACCCTTTGTCAAATATGTTTGGAAAGGAAGCCAGATGTCAAACTTATAGATACAGGCTGAACAGCAAAGTAACATGTGACACGATGCAGATGCTTTAAGATATTCAAAGTGAAAACCTTTACTTTGAAATTGAATGTCTTAAAGCATCTGCATCGTCATGTTACATGTTAATTTGCTGTTCAGCCTGTATGTATAAATTTGACATCTGGTTTCCTTTCCGCTGTATTTGAAAAAGTGTTCATGCACACGAAAGCTCTTGCGTTGAATAAACCTTTGTTGGTCTTAAAGGTGCCACCCAGCTCTCGATAGTCAGGCGCAGAGAAATCCTGCGGTGCGTGCCGCGCATATGAACGCATCCAGCGCACGCCGCACTCCGAGGCGTACATGGCGAGATCGCGCTAGAAAAAAAGCGCGTTTGGCGGAGTAACGCGTCTCGCTGGTTTCCCTTTAGTGGGAGGGTCTTTCTCGCCCTCCCCCTCCCGCGGCGGCTGTCATTGGCTGCTCGGAGGGAGAAGGCGGCGCTCGGGTCAGTCCGCGAGCAGAGAAAGGAAGCAGGCGAAGGAGCCCCGGGCAGAGAGACTTGGGCGGAGCTGCTGACCGCAGGACGATCCAGACTCGCTTTCGGAGGCAACATGTTGCAAGCGGCGTTCCAGACTCCCTGCAAGGCGGCTCCTCTCCGCCTGCTCCTCGGCTGCAGACCTTTGTCCTTTGCGGCCGCCGCCGCTGCCGTCCCGCAGCCCAACACGCGGCCGGACATCTCCTACAAGAAGGTAAGGCGCTCCAGGGCTCCGTTTGCACGTGTGGACGGTCGGGAGCCGGAGGAAACGTTGCGCTGGTCCCTGGCTGGGCTTTCGCCTCAAGTGGGCAGGGCCCCGCGCGGGGGAGAAGACGCACCCGCGCGTTGGGTTCTGCTTCACAAGTTATGCTGGTTAATGCGACGGGACAGCAGAGTTCCGAGGCATAGGCAGAACGCCCTGGCTTTCCGCTCTCTTGTCACCTGTTGCTTCTTTGATACCTCGGTGTCTGCAGGTAATGTGGAGGTGGTGGGGAACAGGGCGGCATTTCTGCCTTTCGGGAAAGGATAAGTTGCAACTTAGCGCCCCTGAACACATGCAGAGTGCTTTTGCTTTTTACGGCTCACTAGCGCCTTTTCTGTTCCATAGCTTGAAATTTGCAAGCCAAACAACTTCAAAAAGTGCAGAGCTGGCGTTTTTTACTGGTGAAAAAGATGGAGGAGAAGATGCAAGTGCCTCTGAGGGAACTGCAGGGTGCTTTTCTTTGCCATGAATACAGAAGCAGGGGGAAGTATTAATGTAGCTTCCTGCAGGCACTGAGCCCAAAGGAGGAAAGATTAGGTGAATGCCTCCCCCCAGCAGGTACATCAAGGCGGGTAGCCCTGCTGGTTTGTCTGTACCAGCAGAAAAGAGCCAGAGTCCAGGAGCACTTTAAAGACGAACAACATTTGTGGCAGTGGAGGAGCATCCAGGAGTCGCTGCTCCCATCTTCAAATAGCCACAAAAGCTCCTCCTCGGCCACAAATTTTGTTCGTCTTTAAGGTGCTCCTGGACTCTGGCTCTTTTCTGCAGTGTGAGCAAGTACAGAGTGCTGCGCAGAGCACATTACACACACCAGAGATGAGGGGAGCGATCTTTCAAGGTCAAGGAATGGGGTTTTCCAGTAGACCACAAGTCCGTTGTTCCCTCTAAGCTGAGTTAGTGTGAGCCAGCTCACAGTTTTCTAGCCTCTGGCTCACACATTTTTGTCTCAGCTCAGGAAGGAGGGCTCCAGAGCAAACTAATTTATTCAGTAGCCAAATCGCTCGCTCACCACTTTAATGCCAGTAGCTCACAAAGTAGAATTTTTGCTCACAAGACTCCACGGCTTAGAGGGAGCATTGACAACCTTGGCCTCTCTTCTGTGTGAGTTTTTAACAGGGGTTAACCACTACCCCAAAAACCCAGAGCGGAAAAAAATAATGCAGCTGTGCAAAGGAGAGGAGAGTGTCAAACCCGCTATACGTTTTATTGCTCACAGAGTCCAAGTCACCGGAAGTCTGACAGAAAGGTCCCAGCCGCCAGCATTTGCTTCTCTTCTCTTTAAAGCATGGTAGTTACTCTTCTGAGAACTAAAGGTGGGACTTGGCACCCCCATGCTCGGCAGTCATATCTCTGTGCTCCAGGCTGGCTGGGAGCCCTCAGTTGCAGGGAGGAAATAAGGCAAGCTGAACTCCTTTGAAACGTCCTCCCAGTCTGGTGTGTGGATCCCGGGAGAATGTGAAATTAAAGGAAAGGGTGTCTTCATGCATGTGCGGAGTGTGCTGGCCGGCTGCAGGCCATGCACACATATCTGTACCCAGCACCTGTTTAGGAAAACTGAACTGCTGGCTTGTGGGAGGGGGTGCTGCACCCAAACCACGCTGAACACGCCTGATCTCAGAAGCTAAGCAGGGTTGGGTCTGGTTAGTGCTTGGAGGGGAGAATATTGGGTGCTGTAGGCTTTTTGGGGGTGCAAGGACAGTGTGGCTCAGGTGCAGAGCACCTGCTTGGCATGCAGAAGGTCCCGGTTTCAATCCCTGGTATCTCCTGCACTGTACTTGCTCCGGCAATACCAGGCAGAAGGTAATGGGAAAGGCTCCTGCTCACCTGAGACCCTGGAGAGCTGCTGCCGGTCTGAGTAGGCAAGACTGACTTTAATGGACCGAAACAAAGTTTGAGTCCAGCGGCACCTTTCAGACCAGCAAAGTTGAATTCCAGGTATAAGCTCTTGTGTGCATGCACATGAAAGCTTATATCCAGAATTCAACTTTGTTGTCTTCAAGGTGCCGCTGGACTCGAACTTTGTTCTGTTGCTTCAGACCCATAGGGCTACTACACCTGAATCTATTTTGATGGACCAAGGGTCTGATTCAGTAGAAGGCAGCTTCATGTGTCCGTGTGTGCTGCTTGCCATTGGCCTGAGTGGATGCTTCCTTTGGGCAGGTTATTCCCCTCTTAACAAGCCTCCTGTAGAAAAGCCAGGCGTTGACTGGGGGAGCCTTGAATCCTGTCCCAAGTGTTTATACTGCCCGCCCCCTTCCCATTTGGCTGCTCGAGCAGCTTGCTTCAGAAGTAAGAAACAAAGCTAATTCCAGCCATGGAGTCTGCGAAGTGCAGTCTTGAGCAATTTCCTTGGCTCCCGGCCTCTGTATCATGGGACGCCTGTCTCAGACTTGTGATTTGTTGTACAATATTAAGCCCTTCAGACAGATGCTGTGTCTCTCTTGCATTCTGCACAGCACTTAACAAAATATGGTGTAAAACCACCATGGAATCATAGCAGTAAGCTTAAAAATGATACAGGTCTTGGGGGAAGGGGAAACTGATCTTATAAGCCATGTGGAAAGCTGAATTCCAGGGGAGTAGTTATGTTTGCCTGTTGCAGCAAAAATAGTCCAGGAAAGCTGATGCTAGACTAAGAGATGCCACAGGACCCCCATGTCTTTTTAAGGCTTCCTAATAAATTCTCGACACTTTGGTTGTTGACTTGGAAAGAGGCCGTGAGCAGTTGCGGGTGGAGTCCGACATTCTTTGTAATGTGGTTATTGAGCTTCAAGTGCCATCAATGTTTCTGGAGCTTTACAGGATATGAGAAGGGATCAGTGTTCCCTCTAAGCTGAGTTAGTGTGACCTGGCTCACAGTTTTTTAGCCTCCAGCTCACACATTTTTTTGTCTTATCTCAGGAAGAATGGCTCCAAAGCAAACTGATTTATGCAGTAGCCAAATCGCTTGCTCACAAGACTCCACAGCTTAGAGGAAGCATTGGAAGGGATGTCCCTGCCCTGAGGAGCCTGCATTTGTCACAAGGCAGAGCAAAGAGGGGGAAAGGTGGCCAAGGCTCAGCCAGGAGCCAACTGATGTCAGAGAGGCTTACAGGCAGTAGAGGACGGGGACTCGGAAGGGTCAGGTGCAAGGCGGCTCACTGGTCTGTAAAGCTGCTTTCCTGGTGCTCAGAGAAAGGTGTGCAGCAACGTGCGCTCGGATCCTTGTCGAGCTTAGTTCATCCAACAAATCTAGCCTGGGGAGAAACTGTCAGGCATGTTGCTGGTTGTTGTTGTTCAGTCGCACAGTCGAGTCCGATTCTTCGCGACCCCATGGACCAGCTCCCGCCAGGCCCTCCTGTCTTCCGCCGTCCTCTGAAGTTGGCTCAATTTCATGTTCGTTGCATCTATGACACTGTCTAACCATCTCATCCTTTGCCATCCCCATCTTCTTTGACCTTCAGTCTTTCCCAGCATCAGGGTCTTCTCCAGTGAGTGCGCCCTTCTCATTGGGTGGCCAAAGTATTTGAGCTTCAGTTTCATTATCTGGCCTTCCAGGGAACAGTCAGGGTTGATTTCTTTTAGGATTGACTGATTTGATCTTCTTGCAGTCCAAGGGACTCTCAAGGCATGTTGCTGGTTACTGACCCTGTATTTAGGAAGCAGACTCTGGAGAGGGAAGACTCCTCTGCTTGCAAGTTCCCTCTGTGGTGTTCTGTCTGGGCAAAGTGAGGATGGGTGGCATTGCCACACTGCACCTCCATGTATTCAGTTTGTCTCCATGATTTCCTTCCACTGCAGTTTCTAACCTCCTTATGCGATGGAGATTGCCTGAGTAGCAGTGACAAGTGATCTCAGTCCAGAGCTCATGGTTTCCAGCGTGACCTGACTGGATCCCAGTAACATTGAAAGGGGCAACGATGATGGAGAGATCTGACACAAAATACTGTTGCCCAGTTTAATGTAGATAGAGTTACGAGAGAGAGTCTGTCCTGAATATGCATCATAAATATGGCATTCGCTGGTAATGGCCCCTAGCTTAGTTCTTAATAACAGTTCTAGACAAATTCTCATAGGTAAGGTCCATCAATACCATTAGCCATGATAGCTGAATGGAACTTCCATGTTCAGAGGCAGTATGTCTGTGATGGATGCAGGGGACAGATGACGGAGACAGTCCATTCCCTTCATGCCATCACCTAGTGAACTATTTTGGCATTTAGTTGGCAGCTGTCAGGATCAGAATGGAAGTAAGAGTGCAAGAAAAGACCTGCTGAATTGCACCAACCAAGAGTCCCTATGGTCCAGCATCCTGTTTCCAGCAATGGCCAGGTGGATCTAATTCTTTTGGGGAAGTGCACAAGTAGAGCATGTAAGCACCCACCCACACACCATTCATTCCTCCACAGCTGTATTCGGAAGTACACTGAACATGGAGAATGCTGAAGGTTGGTCTGATACAACTAGACTTGCACTTTCCTATACTCTTGCCAAGGAGTCGAGACACTTCATGGTGTCCTTGAAGGTCATGGTTCTGAACCTTTCCTATTGTGCAATACAGGGATCTAGATTAGTGTATCCAAAGATACTTCTGTGTTGTAAATGTAGGCCATAAGAATGGGTTTAAATATCTGGTGAGGGCTAGAAATAGCCTGCTGAAGTGGGGAGTTCTGCATCCCTTGGCAAGACTCCCTGAACGCTTGATCTGTGCTGATGTGGATTTTGAAATCCTCCACAGCTGTGGGGGAGGGGGACTTCTCTACAGAACTTCTTTTGGCTCGCCCTGAATCTTAATAGCAAAATATCAAGTGTTCCTCTCGGTCATCCCCCTGCCAGCCTGCAATGGTTCAGTCGGCACTGGCTGATAAGCAGGAAAATTAATGATAAACAAAGGCTGAGCCAATGCTTGCCTTTACAAAAAAAAAAAAAGCACACTGCATTCTAAGGAACAGCTCCAAGGCAGGATTTGGGCCATGTATCCGACACGATAATATGGGGACTGTTCCATGTTTGAGTTATTTCCAGAAGACCAAGAAGGTTGGAGGCAGTGGGAGAGAGCTCTTCCTTTGCATGACTTCCTTCTCCCACTTTAAGGAGCTTTTGAAATCCTTGTTGCAAATAAGGAGAACTGTGCTGCATATTTGACACTGCAGCTGCAGGCCAAGCTTGGCAAAGTTTCGTGTGTGTTTTTTTCTTCTTTAAAGGGACTTGCTCTGGAAGAGGACTGTAGCAACAGAGAAGGGCTTCCTTCCATCCATTTTTATCTTCCTGTGCTTCCTGTAAATGGCTAAACAGCAATTTCCTGTATTTTCTGCCGCTGTGTTTGTAAAGCATTTAATAACACTTCTTTCTGAAGCATGTTCTCATGCTTAACTGCACACTGATTTTTTTTTTTTAATGTACTTGGGAGGGTAATGTGAAAGACAAATACACATTCAACAACTACGGAGTGATGGATCCATGTACCCTAATCCCGATTAGAGGGTTTATTTCACTTAAACACCACCAGTACTGCTAAATCAAACAGTGTGTTTTGCCCAGTAGTGTGTACTTTTCTGAGCCTTGAGTACCTTTAACATATTGATAAAGTCTCTTATAAGACACAGATTACGAGGTTTAGATACCGGGAACAATTGTATTGTGCAGCTGTTCCATACTGTGACAGTTCTCTGGAGTTAGTTGCTGTAGTCTCTGGAGTCTCGGGCATATTAACTGCCTCACACAAAGTTTTAGTTCACCCATCCCCATCCTGTCTCTCCAAGATCTCAGGCAGAAATCAGTTTTCCAGGGGCTGGATCTTAATGGATCTGTTCTGCTGATGGTGGCCTCTTCCTCTGTCTCAGACAGTTCTTCAAACTTCTTGTGATGGGAAATTTCCACCACTTGCAAAATGGAGCAGCAGAATCCAACTTGATGGTTCTTTAACTGGAAACTGAACCTGGATTTTCCATTGTGCCAAACACATGCTGGACACACACACACCCTTCACAAGAACACGGTGCGCGCCAGTCATCAGGAAGAACTCTGCTGGATCAGATCAAAGTCTGCCTAACTCTGCATTCTGCCTCCAACCATACTTAGCTGAATGCTTCTGGGAACTTTGCAAGATCCAAAGGCAATAGCCTTCCCTGCTGACTGTGCCCAGCAGGCCACATTCGAAGGTCTACTGTAGGGATGTTCAAAGATGCTCCTTTTTAGTTTCTGCCAGTTTTTATATGCTATCATTTGTGGGCCATTTTGTTTCAGTTCTTTTTCTCTTATGCAGTTGACACAATTAGAACTTTGAAGTCCCTATAGGACTCTCAGCCACTGTAAATAACCTATTGAGAAGTAGGGGTGTGTTTTGGGTGGCGGTTTCTTGGGGGATATAAGCCAGCCTGCGAGCCGGCCAAAGTCGTCTTGTTCCTGATCGAATAAAGTACGCTTTGCTGAAATCACTCTCCGTCTGTGTACTTTTCAGTCCCATTTACCTATATTGTATTAATGGACTCATGAAACATGTTCTTAACCATTAGTCAGCCTCCTTAGCCAGCTGAAGCATTCCCAGTCCCTCCTGAGCTAAAGCTCCTGAGTGCTTATTGGTGGGTTTCTTGTTTGCAGATTTTCATCAACAATGAATGGCACGACTCCACCAGCAGGAAAACATTCCCGACCATCAACCCATCCACAGGCGAGGTCATCTGCCAGGTCGCCGAAGGAGACAAGGTAAATGCAAAGTAGTGCAGACGCTGGAACTGAAAAGAGGGTGCAGAGAGTGATCAATAGCAGGAGCATGGAGTCAGATCTTGTTTTACGAAAGTTGGTAAACATTTGTCAGTTCTGATAAGACGGGTCCAAAGGTCCATTCCTTTCATTTAGGTGTGTGATTTTGGATATTATTTGGTAGTCCTGCAATCATTTTAATCCACTTCTTAAGGGATCAGTGGGTGGTATTCTTTGTTCTCCCCAATATTTGGCATGCAGTTCTCCAGGAACTCAACTCATTTATTTGTTTGTTGATTGGATTTATCCCCCGCCGAAGCAGGCTCAGGGCAGCTACCATTTTTCTGTCCTGAATAAATCAACAGAAGCAACATGTATCTTATATCCCAGGGGGTCCTCAATCAATCTTTCTGCAGGTACCTTTGGAACTCTGATACAAAATGGTGGGCACAGTCACAAAACAGCTGCCAGAGGAGACAGAGCCAGCCACAAAATGGCTGCCACAGCTTACCTTCAGTTACATGATAAGAACATAAGAGAAGCCAATGTTGCATCAGGCCAGTGGCCCATCCAGTCCAACACTCTGTCACACAGTGGCCAAAAATACCAGGAGGTCTGTCAGTGGAGATCATTATGCTGTGGTGGCAGGTGCTGCCAAAGCAGCATTTTTTTAAAAAAAAATCTGCACAGCCAGTCAGCAGGCTTGCTAGGACAAAGCCCCACTTGCCTTGCCCATTTTCTTAAAACACTTGGTCGGCACTATGTTGGGGTCCCCTGTTGTATCCCAAACTGTCATTTATTTCTGACGAGATCAGGCGTGTTCAGGGTGGTATGGTCGTAGGCATTTATTTCTGACAAAATATCTCTCCAAGGACTGAGCCAGGAACTTGTCATCGGCCTCAAGCATGCTGTCCACCTTTGTAACAGAGAGATAAGGATACTGGCCTAACTTGCAGGGTTGTTAACAAGGATGAGAGAAGCAATGGATGAGAAGTGTTCTCTATAGACTGATCTGTTACTTGGTAGCCATATTTTATGGCACAATAAGTGGAAGCTGCGGTGGCTCAAGTGGTTAAGACGCTGAACTGCAGGCTGTGGAAGGTCGGTAGTTCAGCAGTTCAAGACCCGAGTGTAATGGTTGAGGAAATTCTACTTCACTGTATCTGAGGAAGTGTGCATGCACCCGAAAGCTTATACCTTGAATAAAACTTTGTTGGTCTTAAACGTATCACTGGACTCAAATATTGTCCCCCCTTAGTATGTGTGTCTTTAAGCTGTCTTGAGCTTTAACACCTAAAGCTTACCTGCTCCTATGGATTTCAGCCCCATACCAAAAATAACTTGCTCTCAGCATAGAAACCTCTGCCCGTCCTTTTGTCTGCTTCTCAGGAAGCTGCAGAACAAACATTAGCTGGGCAGCAGCTGCCGGCAAAGAAAAATGTTGGATGTAAATGTTGCTAGGTTTGCTGCCTGGGAGCCAAAGGTACCCATTTCATTCGGTGTAATTTCATAATAACGTTATCTCTGACAGGGAACCTGGATAGTTCAAAGTCAGAATCTTTTTTTTACAGTCCATGACCAGAATAAATCTGGATCGTTATATTAGCAAACAGAAATGACACAGCAAAAATTGCACAGAATCCTGGCTGCTGGCTATAGGCAAAGGGTAACAATTGATAAACAAGTCTCAGACCAGGAGGAAACCGCCAGTGGAGCTCCACGAGGAGGATCAGGAGGTTGAGAAATGTGGGTAACTGAAAATGCAATCTCAGATCTGGAATAGGCTAGTTCCAAAGTACAGGATTCTTCTTTTTAAAATGTATGCCACACGGAAGGCACTGTGGTGATATAAATTGCTACACTCTACCAAACTGTTGGCAGTGAAAAAGCAAAAAAGTGCATCCTACAGTGATGCTCTCTATGATGATTTGTGTTGCACTGAGAAATAGGAATTGTAACAGTGTTTTCCTGACTCTTGGAAACTGTTCAATTATAAACAGGTCCTTCGTTCTCTCCTGCTGGAGCTCGGTGGCTTGGATCCTTTGTTGCTGGTGGTGCGGTCTTCTCCTTAGGGTGGTAGTTTGACCACAAACATAGTTGCTTAACTGAGACGCTGACATCTGTTTAAGGTCTGCTTAAGGCAAACATTTTGCTAACTGCCACACTGTGATGCCAGCAGACACTGAACCTTGCAGGTTCAGTAAAATTATAACAATGCTATCCAGTGGAACATGCCGGGCAGCCCATGTAAGAAAGAGAATGAGGCACCATAAAGAGTTAGGGCCAGAGCAGCTCCCCATTTTTGCTTTGCAGTCCTGCCTCATGTATGGAAGCCAGGGGAGTGAGTGTGGTGTGTAGTTTCCCGGTCTAGGGAATTCTAGATCTATGGAACTTCTAAAGGTCCAGGACCCATTTGGAATCTCTGGCCACCATGTCTGCTCTTGCTGCAGAAAATCTCACTGTACATCTGCCTCAGCAGAGGGGGTTGCTGTTGAGAACCAGTGATGTAGGTTTTCCAGAAAAAATTTTCTGGGAAAATTGGACGATTTCAATTTAAATAACGTTAGCAATGGAAGGCAAATACACCATGTCCAAAGCATTGGGGTTTGTCCATCTTTCATATCCCTCATTTATCATATTCCTCGTTTAGCCCATCTAACATGATGGATTTGCAGCCCTGACAAATACAAACAAACTATATTAATATATGTGGGGTGGAAAAAATGTCCAGAAAACTTGTTTCGGAAGATTTTCCACCCCACATCATTGTTGGGAACCAGTCACTACTGAATGTATTGTTTTGTTTTGGCATACCTCCAGTAACTGTTGCTGGCCCTGCTCCCTGGTTTTGGTGTTATGTGTGTTTATGTTTTAACTGAATTATTTCATGTATACTTGCTGTTTTAATGTTGAGATGTTTGGATGCTCACTGGAGACCCTATTTAGGTGGAAAGGTGGCAAAGAAAATAAATAGTGCCCCGGTCACACAGGCTGGATATCGCGGGGGGGGGGGGGGGGGGAGGGGAGGCTAATTCCTCGGGGGAAACTAACGCGCGGCTGCCCGAGCCCACATCCTGGTCGAGGTCCCATGGTTCGGGGGAAATGCCGATCAGACGGGTATCCTGCAGCGCGGCTGCCCGAGCACACGTCCCGGTCGAGGTCCCGTGGTTCGGGGACTATGCCGATCAGACGGGTATCCTGCAGCGTGGCACAGAAGCCGCGCGGCGCGATCACACTAGCAATCGCTCTTTGTGCGCATGCACTGTTGGGCGCTGTTGCGCAACCTGCAGAGACAAACCGCACCGGGTGCCATGTAAGTCCACTGGGAATGCTATCAGACGCCCGCCCTTGGCCTGCGGTTTCAGGAAACTAGTACCTCGTAGGTACTAGTTTTTAACGCCGCACCTTCGGCGGGGAGCCACGGGTTCGCCACGGGAGCACTGCGCTTCCCAGATGTTGGGGTGAGATCGCGCCTGGAAAATCCGCGGGACTCCCGTGCCTCTCCCGCGGCAACTTTGCTGTGTGACCGGGGCCACAATTGAATTTCCATTTGACTGTGGACCTCTGGAGCTGACGAAAAGCACGGTCCAGGAAAATAAATGCACGCTCCCTCAAAACCCCTCCTTCTGCATGTATCAGTGCTTCCAATTTGTGCTCGTTCCATATACCTCCAAACTTGAACATGGGGGAGGGAGCAGAGGAGCAGCACAGGCCCATCAGTCAGTCCACATGGCTGCAGAAGTCCTGAAACAGTGCAGCTTTTCCTGGCGAGTGTGTCGCCAAGAGCATATGAGCTTAAGTGTGCCTGTGCCTCATTGTTTCTGCTTCTCTGGGGCTGCTGCTTCTGCTGGTCACATCCTGAACCACTGCTCACTGTTTACCCTGTCCTCTTTGGACTCCTTTTCCAGGCGGATGTTGACAAGGCGGTCAAGGCAGCCAGAGATGCATTCAAATTTGGATCTCCTTGGAGAAGGATGGATGCTTCCCAACGAGGCGCACTGCTGTACCGTCTCGCTGACCTGATTGAGAGAGACCGCGCTTACCTGGCTGTATGTTTGGCATATATTAGGCTTGCTCTGCTCTGTTCTCGGGGAGTGGGGGGGCACTTCCTAACAGGGCTGGTCACCTGAGAGGTCAAAAACCCTTCTAGTCCAGCCAAATATCGGTCCAAGTGTTTTCAGAAGCATTAATTTAATTAGAACATCAAAAAAGATACTTGACTGAAGTTCAACCTGCTTGTCTAATTAATCGTAAACAAGTTAGTCAGGATTGAAAAACAATAAAATATGTTTTTTTAAAAAAAAAAGTGTAATGAATTTTAACCCCCATGTACAGCAAAATAAATGTTAAAGGCAGTGGTGCTAGTTGTGGCCTACTGGAGCAGCTTTGTATTGCTGCCAGGTTTGCTGCAGGTGGGTGCGGTTTGGGGGGGGGGGCAGCCCTCACTGCTGGTCTTGCTAACAAATGTCACCAGAATGAAATAAAAAAGGCAGGAAGCTACACAGCAGCATTCTTGGCTGTGTGGGTCATTTGACCATAGCCAAAGAACAGACAAGTCGTTTGACAGTGTTTAACCGGCCAATTTGACTCATGTGCCAACTTTTCCTGATATGTTTGGGACTTCTCTAACAGACACTTGATTATGTGACGTGGGGATAGGCAAGTTGGGATTAGTTTTGGAACTGATAACTTATTTTTTGTTGCAGGCTCTGGAAACCTTGGACAATGGCAAGCCGTATGCTGTTGCCTACCTGGTGGATTTAGACATGGTCATCAAACACCTCCGGTGAGGATTTTTCAAGCTGGGGCAAATAGACTGGATCTGACAGATCCATCCCACCAATGGTAGCACTTTCTCCCAGTGCTTTCCTGAAACAAGAGACTTTGTGGGATCCAGGCCTTGGTACTCAATCCACTTGCAATTTCTTCTTCAAAACCCCATTGGAATGAACGGGAACTGTGCATGTTGGTTGTAGTCAGACCTTTTGAAGGGGACATTTCCTACTTGTGCCTTGCTTTCAGGCATTTGTATCTGCCCTTGAGGGACAGGCTTTGTCCAGCGGAAGAGCTTGGGGGATAGAGGACCACCCGCAGTGCAGATGTGAAATTCCTAAGTCACTGTATTAAATTCTCCCCTGACCTCTTTCCATCTGAATTGGGTCTAATCACTGGGCCAGTTGTCTGAGCTTTTGATCTGAAGGAGATTTGTAAATAGCCACACTGTGGATCACTTTCGGTCAACCTGGTGTGGAAGTTTTCCAGAAGTTTATTATTATTTTTTTCTCTTGGGTTGTATATGACCAATGTAAGCACATGGAATGGCAAAACCTCTGTAGGCTAATTTTTGTGTAATTTTGTATAAGGGTGCTTCTACACGAGGTCAGTCAGCCATCTGGCACGGGGGAAGCCTAGAAGCGGTACACAATGCTGGTACCCATACACAGATGTATCCACATCAATCACAGGCAGCAGAACAGAAACAGTGTCAACTGATGTACTTGCCAGGAATGTCTTGAATTTGTGTACGCCTCTCCTTTTCCCCTGCCGCCTAGTTTCTACTGTTTATACAAGTGAATAGCAAACTTATGACATTCATGATGCAGTTCATATTTTCAGCTAACAGAACTGGGCCAGAGGACAGGAGAGGTGCAGAGGTCTAGAACTGATACTAACCAGAGGCTGGTCTAGGAGGGCAGGCTGTTTAGACTAAGCAGCTGAGAATCTCCCTCAGCTTTCTGCACTGCTCCAGAGGAGGAGTCCCAGAGCAGAAGAAATACAATATTTACAATAACTGTTTTCAATACACGTAGAGTTTCCCTGCATATTCCCCCTCGTCTCAAATTTACTGCGTGAATAATCAATTGTTCCATTTCAGGTACTATGCTGGTTGGGCAGACAAATTCCATGGGAAAACTGTGTCCATGGACGGAGACTTTTTCACCTACACAAGGCATGAGCCAGTTGGGGTCTGTGGACAGGTCATTCCAGTAAGTAATGCTTACTACCCCATACATTGGAAGATGGGCGTGCTATGTTTGAGATGCGCAAGGGATCTGTCTCTGTGTTTCCATAGCCATTCAGGCAATAACCTTTCCCCCCCACTGTGCTGAAGTCAGTAGCAGATCTTGAACCCTATGCTGCCATGTTAAGATTGTCGAGGGCCTAGTGTCTACACACATGTATGTGTAAGCAGAATGGACTGAAAGTGATTTGACCCTGGATACAGAAAAAGAAGCTTCGTGAACAGAAGTCTTTCCAACGCGATTTCAGAGCCTATCCTGAAAGAAGAGAGGCCTCAGTAGCAAAAGAGTGACTTCAACACATCACATATCTCCTTAGCCTTACAAATCCTATAACAGGAGAGAAGAATATCCAGGTTTCCCTGCCGGCATCCCACCTTTGCTGTTCTTTGCCTGTGGGCTTCCTTATTTGATGCATGGCCATGATTCTGTTATTACCCATCCCATTGTGGATTTAATGCTGCAAAATCTTCCAGCTCAAGGAGCTAAAAAATCTGATCCTGGCTGTAGGAACAGGAAAGGAGGGAGTCAAGGGATTCTGCTGCACTGGGGCTGCGCTCACACAGAACATAAGCCACGCAAGAGAGACGGAAGACAGGCGGATTTTCCGGGTGTGATCTCACCGGCACATCTGGGAAGCGTAGAGCTCCCGTGGCACAACCGAGGCTTCCCGGCGAAAACGCGCTGCAAAAAACTAGTACCTCAGAGGTACTAGTTTCCGGAAACTGCGGGGCAAGGGCGGGCGTCTGATCGTGTTTTCAGTGGCATCCGGCGCCCGCCCATGTCCCCTTGCGACAAAGGGTTCCCCCCCCCAAGTCTCCGTGGATGCGCACACGCACCCAACGGAGCATGCGCATTCGTCGTGTACACAAAAAACAACAACACCAGTTTGCTGCACCGTGCACTTCTTTGTTGCGCGCAGGCTAGTCCTGTGATCGGCACCTCTCCCTACCCACGGAACCTCCACGGTACCTCCACAGGACCTCCACGGGAGGTCTGATCGCTTAACCGCGCATTTGTTTGCCCCGGGGCACACAGCCACGCTCCCCCCCCCCCTGCATTTTCCTGCCCATGTGACCGGAGCCTAGGTTATGCTAATCTCCTTTCTTCTCCACTTTGTGTCTTTACTCCAGTGGAATTTCCCACTGCTCATGCAAGCCTGGAAACTCGGGCCGGCATTGGCCACAGGGAACGTGGTGGTGATGAAACTGGCTGAGCAAACCCCTCTGACTGGGTTGTATGTGGCCAGTCTGATCAAGGAGGTAAGGAATCTGTGGGGCTCCCGCTGTCTTCCTACCAGTGTCTTTTCCCAGCGGTCATTGCTCATCTACTCATACAATCAGCAAGCTTGAGGATTTCTGCAGGCTCTCTCAGCTGCACCAAGATATTATCTAAGATTCCCGGAGAGAAGCCACAAGCTGTTGTAAAGGGTTTTAAATCCACTTTGGTTATAGCACGAAACGTCAAAGAACCCCCTTTAATGACAACAGCTGTTCTGTATCTGTCCACTTTCCGGCCAAATGCTTTACCATCTTTGGCCATCTGTCATATTTTACCTGCCCTCCGTGATTTGGGGGAGTGTGGACCACAAATGGAAACTTTGTCTCCACTTATTCGGTGAGGTCGCCATGCCCCAAAGCAATCTTATCCTAGGTCAGAAATCTACCCCAGTATTGCCTTTTCTGGCTAGCAACAGTCCTTCAGGGCCTCTGGCTGGGCAATGTCTCCCTAAGTCCAGCTGACCCCATGACCTCCCCTTGCCAAGCAGGTTCTCGATCATCGATTGGCAGTCCCTTCCTGAATCATTACGGAAGAATCACCTCTTTGTTCTTCACCTTGCAGGCTGGATTCCCCCCTGGCGTGGTGAACATTATTCCTGGCTTTGGGCACACAGCAGGGGCTGCCATTTCTTCCCACATGGATATCGATAAAGTGGCGTTCACTGGCTCCACGGAGGTGAGTAATCTGGAAGCCTGGAGCTTCTTCTGTCTGTGCCTTCAGGCAGCAGAACAGGAGAGGCCTAGCCTGCTGCTCAGCTTCCAGCTTGCTTTAACTGTTATCCTAAGTAGAGTCTCTTCCCGTGAGACTAGTTAAGTAGAGTCTCTTCCCGTGAGACCCTTAAACTTAACCTTTCACGGACGCCACGGTATTACAGCAGCCCAGCATAATAGGCCAGCATTTGTTTTGTCATACTGCTGAGGCTTAGGATGATTGGCTGCATTCTCTTTAACCATCTATTGTCAGGATTTTAATAGGACACGGTCACAGCCATGAAGGATGTTCATTTATTATTGGTATAGCACCATCTGCTTGCAGAATAACATTACAGTGGGTTGAAGAAAGGTCCCTGCCCCAAGCAGCTTACCTTCATTTCAGCAAAGGGGGGGGGGGCGTAGAGGGAAGGGAAGATTAAAGGAGAGGACAGCCAAGGGTATGTGCAAAGGCAGCTTAGCATCCTATTTGGTGGTGGGAAGTGAGATCAAGTCGCAGCTGATTACAGTGACCCTACAGGGTTTTCAACTTAGGGAAGAGATGAACAGAGGCGGCTTGCCATTGCCTCTCTGTGCAGCAAGCTTGGACTTCCTTGCTGGTTTCCCATCCAAGTACCAACCAGGGCCGATCCCACTTAGCTTCCAAGCTCTGATGAGATGAGGTCAGGACAGCTTCCCATTTAGAATTGGAATGCAGGGTGTCTGCTGGCCTGGGGTTAAGCCCGTTACCTTGAAGCTAGACAGTTAACAAGATTACTTCCTAATCGAGTCTTCCCTGATTAGAACGTTCAGGAAGCCTCTTCTGTCCCTTTCAGGCCCCATTTGCAGACGATAAATGGTTTGGAACTGAAGGCTGAGTGACAGCAGATTGTCTCACTGGCAATGAAGTGGTGGATTACATCAGCTTTTGGGGTCTTTCAGAGTACAAAGAGCCTTGCAGTTCTTTCGGGGTTTATTCTGTCTACGCATTAGCTTCACAGCTGAGGGTGGATATTTGGCCTGTGGCTTATCAAGTAGCTTCATGGTTGAGCTGGGTCAGGTAGCCCCAAATCCTCAAAGATTTAAGCCACATTGCATTCTCCCCCGTTTCAGGGTCTTTTCTAAATCCAGAAGAGCTTGGCTAACTCTGCCATCCTAAACAGAGTTGCACCCTTTTAAGTCCATCGAACATAATGGACTTAGAAGGTTATAACACTAGAATGGTACTGTAAGCCACCTTGCAGTGACAGTTAGTGGATTAACTGAGATCTTTTCCACATCTAAGAGCTCATGTTTCACATTGGCTAGAAGACTGAACTACAATTTGGGAAGCTGCTAGATGGCCTTGGGCAAGCTCCTTGTAAGCTGCTCTGAGACTCCTTTGGGTAGTGAAGGGCGGGGTATAAATCCAATCTCTTCTTCTTCTTCTCCTGGTCTTACTATCCCTGTACTGCATATTCGGGGGAGGAGGAAGTTAATACTGAGCAACTTCACAGGGCTGCTGTAAAGAATTATTAAGAGGATTTTTCAAAGCATTTGAGACACTCTAGAGAAGAGCTACCAAAGTGTTAAGTATTGTTATCTGGGAAATGTGATCCAATCAAGACTTGAACATCTTTGCTTGTAATGTGGCTTGACCTCTTCCTGATCTGGGAGAGGATCGAAACGCTTAACTTTTTGGATAGCCCTCCCGCATTGAGTAACTCTCATATCAACAACTTTTGAGTTGCCTTTTGGTAAATAAGAATACTGTGGTGAACAGCTGCTATTAAGTGTGCCTTGATGGCTGTCCAGACCAAACCAATAACCCTCAAGGAGAAGAGGTAACTACTGGAAGAGGATGAAGACATTCCAGTTCTTAATAAAATCAATTGAAAGAAACTAGCTGATAAAAGAGGAAGAGGTGGATGCAGAGGACAAATTTGAACTTCTGATTGCTATGGAGACCCTAGGATTTACGTAATCCCTCTGCAAAACAATACTGTAAACAGTCCGCACATTGATCTTAGCTTTGCAGTGTGCAAATAAAGGAGGAGGGCGAACCGGTAGCTTATGCAACACAAGTAATCCATAATGATCCAATTTCACTGCACTTCTAGCACAGTTTTAGTGCTGCATACTTCTCCTTAAATTCTTGTGACCAAAATAGTGCTGCACTTAGCTTGCAATCCTAAACATGCATACTTAAAGTTAATTGAAAGTAATGGGATTTGTTTCCAGGTAAATCTGTTTTAACATTGGGCTGTCAGGATTCAGTGGGCTTTTGCTGGGTTAACCAGCTTGCATTAGGTATATTGGGTCTGTTGCTTCTCAGGTCACCACCACCATTACTGAATTGAAAATGCCAGTGACTCTGACTCACAGTATTACCTTCACTTTTTGAAAAGAAACTAACAGTATGATGTTATCCTCTTTAGTATCCTGCCCTGGGTCCACCAGTGGGTTCGACTTATCTGGCAACTACCCAGGCCTTTGTTTTTATAACGCCTTCCTTGTCTCTCCACTGCTTCCTTGAGAGGTTCATTCTGTACATTCCACATCCTTCTCCATTTCTCCATTATAGGTTGGTCACCTAATCCAAAAGGCTGCTGCTGAAAGTAATCTGAAGAGAGTGACACTTGAGCTGGGGGGGAAGAGCCCAAATATCATCATGTCTGATGCTGACAGTAAGACTCTTTTCTTGTCAGTAGCAGTGAAAACTGAAAAGGGGGTCACATCTTCAGTGAGGCAAATTGGTTTACTGCCCTCTTAAGACAATGTTGGAGGCCTCTTGGCTGGCATGCAGCTTGGGGAAGTTTTTCAGTCTGCAAGGCGCACAAAATCGAGATGCACCTTGCAAGTCAGAATGCGGTGATGTGCCTACTCTTGCCATTCAATGTGTGTGCAAGGTGACAGGAAATAGAAGTAGGAAGTTAAACAATGAAGATTTCCGGGGGGGGATTTCTTCCATTTTCAAATTTTTATTAGTTTGATTTATTTTCAGTTTACCTTAGAATCCCAACCACAGATTAAACCCCTGATTAAGTAAAATGCTGCAGGTTAGAAGATGCCCCCTGGCCTGTTCAATTACTGTAGTAAACTATGGAGAAGCTAATATGATACAATAGTAATTTAACATTTTAGCAGAACTTCAGAAGAATTTATTTAGCAGTTAAATGGACTTGGGGGGGTTGCTCAGTAGCTGAGCACGAGCATCACATGGAGAAGATACCAAGTCATGTTTCCTTCTTGCAAAACATAAGAGGAGCTGTGTCTCCACAACGATAAAGCAAGAATTGCACAAAATGCATTGGGAATGTTTAAACTACTGTAGTGTCTTACCTTATGGCCACCTTGAATATATCTTGGAAAGGCAAGATAAAAATCTTTCAAATAAACTGACTTTCCATGCAACTTTTTTTTTTTTGTTATGATTGTTTCTTCCCCCTTTGCTTTATCTTTTGCTGTGGTTTGGTTCCTCTCTTTAATTTCCTTCACCTGAACCAAGTAACCTACACCACCTATTAAACAGTAGTAGCTGATACACATAGCATATTGTCAGTAGCTGCAATGTACATCCACTCTAAAACATTAGAAAACCTTCCTAAATATAAGAACAGCAATCACAAAGGAAGGTTTTGAAAGGTTCCTTCTTAAGTTTCTAGGAAAAGACTGGACCGGCATTCTTGCATGGGGATAATTCCGTATCTGATATCCTTTTGGAAGTGATCGGTTCTAAAAGAATGTCGCTTTAGACTGTATCCCGTATGCATAAAGACGACTTTGCCAAACTTGCATTCCTGATGAAGGATTAAATTGTAAATGGTTTCCTTAGGAAGCAGGTGTGGAATTGTGGTTGTAATTCCTTGCTACCAGTAAAGACATTTACTTTCCAGATCATCTTATAGAGCGACTTTCTTCTCTCTTGCAGTGGACTGGGCTGTTGAGCAAGCCCATTCTGCCTTGTTCTTCAATCAGGGACAGTGCTGCTGTGCTGGTTCTCGGACATACGTCCAAGAGGATATATACCATGAGTTTGTGGAAAGGAGTGTGGAGCGAGCCAAAGCCAGGGTGGTTGGGAACCCATTTGACTTAAGGACAGAACAAGGACCTCAGGTGAGAACATAAAGGTTCAAAGGTTTCTTTGTTCTCTCTTGTCCCCATCTCCTACTCCTTTGACCTTCTGTTGAAAAACCATGGGGCACTCTTGTAGAAGGTCTTGGTCTTTGAACATTATCTGGAAATAGCCCCTAGTTTAGAAAATTTGAAGACGTGTGAGTTAAAATCCATGTTAGATGGTTTGATATACGGAAATGTAGCGCCGGTTTTGTGCATTCGATAAAGTGGTATGAGGCCATG